TTTTCATAATATGTTAATAATTTATATAGACATGCTAATTATTTATTTATACATTTGAACAATGAATTGAATATATTACTTTTTAATTCATAAATAACGTTCTCATTTCGCAAGTCCTTTATAAATTTTTGTTATAAAATGTTTTAATAATTTCTACACTTAGGTACTTAGAGAGATAGACGATGGTATTGTTGTCGGAGTTACATTTTGTTAACGGAATTTGTTTACAAAATAATATAAATCGAAAAGGCGACGTCTAATAAACTCTATTAGACCTCGCCATCTACTATTAAATAATGCATCGAATTTAAATACAATACAAGGTTTAGCTCGTATTATGCGTGTAAAAGATTTGATAGGTTGTCCTTGCTAGCCCTTCTATTTGAATGTCAAAATAAATGTACTCGCATTTATAATTTTATTAGTATTCCGCCCCGCATTTTTCGGGTGTACAAAATTTGGGAAAGTGGTACTTATTTCAATACAGTCACGAAATTATATGTTCTTTAACATTTATAATTTTGAAGGAAAGGGGTACGCCAACGGTATTGCAGGTGTGCTGCCGGCCTTTTAAAAAGGAATATGATCTTTTCTTGAAGGCTACGTTGTCATATTGGTTCGGAAATACTGCTGCTGGAAGTTGATTCCAAAGAGTGGTTGTGTGTAGAAGAAAGTGCCTTGAAAAACGCACGGTGGAAAATCGCCATTCGTCCGTTCGTCCGTCAGTTGGGATGAAACTTTAAACAAGCTGTTCTCTCTGTAAGTTATCCTGTTTTCAGCCTTATCATTTCTCACCACTCCTTTGCTAAAATATATCGATAGTGCAGGCGAAGTTTACCATTCCAATATAATCCATTAAAGAATAAATGAAAGAATATTTAATAAAATAATTAACGTAGATAAATAAAGATGAAGTATGAGATAGCAGTTTTGACATTTTATTGTCTTTCATGCTGATAATGTTTATAATTTAGGTTTTTATTATCAAACTGTAAAATGTAAGGAAATTAAATTCCTATAATCAAAGTCTTCTGTAATATTATAGATGTGACCAAAAATTCTTTAATGTTAAGATAGCAAATTTTCTCCATAATTATTATAATACTAATAACTAGAGGTCAAATAAATAGATACATACATATGTATATAATCACCACTATACAACCCGCCACAAACTAAAGTTTCATCCCAATCATCTGGACAAGTGGCGGTCTTCCACCGTGCATTTTTCAAGGCACTTTCTTCCACGCACGTATTTCTGAGCCGATACGATAACATAATCTTCAAGAAAAGAGTATATTCCTTTTTAAAAGGCCGGCAGCACACTTGCAATGCCGTAGGTGTTGTGGATGATCATAGGCGGCGGTAGTCACTTACCATCAGGTGAGCTGCATGCTAGTTTGCCCCCTGTGTTGTAAAAAAAAAGATAATTCTATCTATTTTATTTTAATCAAAGGTTGTATGTAAGAGATTACTATAGCGATAAGACCGCCGTTTGTACCTTTATATATATACTAGCGGCCCGTCCCGGCTTCGTACGGGTGGATATTTTTATAACATTTTAAAAAGTGATTATTGTGACATAACGATAATAGATGGACATACAGTATCGTGAAGTTTTTTGTAGTTATTGATATTTTCTTCAATATTGTAGAACATACTTTTGTTCTATTACCAATAGATTCTGCAGCGCACGCGACGAAAGATATTTTATAGCATTTTTTTACACCTTAAGTTACGTTACTAAAATTTTAGTAAGAATCCCTTCTTTTCCAGCAATAAATATAGCCTATGTTACTCAGGGTGAATGTAGCTTTCTAATGGTAAAAAAATTTTTGAAATCAGCAAAGTAGTTTTTGAGTTTATTTATTACAAACATACATACACACAAAAATACAAATCATTCCTCTTTAGAATATTAGTGTAGATTTATATGCATTTTATGCTACTGTATTTCACTTAAATTTTCTAATTGTTATTGTATATATTTATGTTTTTAGTGCAATAAAGAGTTACATAAATAAATAAATGCTTTATTTAGAAGAATTAATATTTTTTTATATTCTTCATTGAATAATAATTACGGTGCCTATAGGAAGGTGGCATCAGATTAGTCAATATTCTATAAAATAGATAAATTGTCTCTTAAACATATGTGTTTGATAACAACTTCAGTAATCGTCATTATTATAAATCAAAATAATATCCGTACACTATCTGTTGTCATGTCGTGTTTTCCATTTAAGTTGAAATTTTCTAAAATCCTTTTTTATAAAATAAACATTCAAACTTCAGTTTTCTATAATAGTTTTAACTGTGCCTTGATAAACAGGACAAACGATTTTACAAGTGTAGATAAGTAACAAAATGTACGCAGTAATTTAAAGGTTTTTGTAGCATTCTAATTGGACTCTATTTTGCCTAATAATTCTCATTAAATTAAAGATAATGAAATATATTTTTTATTCATCAATTATTTTTATGTAATAATAGCTACTATAAAGTTAGTCCAAGCTATAGTATGTAAATAAAGAAAAACTTCTATTCTTGCGATGGCGATGGATCTACTTTATATTACTAATACTGTATTTAATATAAAAGCTACTGGTGTTTGTTTTTTTAATACAGAGCTAAAAATTCTGATTAATCATAAAAATTTTAATCCTGTTACAGAAAAAATATACAAGCGACGTTAACTATTAATTTTGTATATAAATACTTTAATATGTATGTACGTACTTATCAAAGAGTGCATCAGTCATTAAATTAAAGAATTTCTATAAATAAAAATTTATACTATGGTGCGGATATATAGTAATTACACTAAGCATTATGGTGTCAATTGTCATTATTAATTTAATAAAAAAATGTTCCTTTAGATACAGAGATATTGGATATAGTAATTCATGTGATGTAAGAATAATTCAGGTCTAGCTGCTAATTACCATGTATAAAGAAAAGCAAGATGAAATAGCTGTGGAGTAGTTCGAGTAAAACGTACATCCTCTTATAATAGTGTCTTGTATACCCGGCGGTATACTCCCTTGGAACCGGATTTTATTCAATTTCGCATTTTTTCATAAAATATATTTGCATGTTTATCATTAGGTATATTTAAAATGAGAATTTCAAAATGAAAGTGATCGTTAAATCGCCTCAGCCACCCTCAAGCGCTCGCTAACATATTTATTACGTATCTTTTTATTTTTATTCAACATGCATTGCCGCGTCACATTGTGCGCGTTATTTCGTATTCAATTTTTCCTTTATCGCTCAGCTTTGAATTGAATATCTTTTGAGGCGTAGTCTCCAGACACAATCGAATTGTAGAACGATTACTGCAATTGTGTTTTTTCAATGGACCAATAAAAATAGACGTAATTGGTGATGTGAAAAAAACGATGATCGCTTATTGAGCCGGACCACGCTTCGTTCCGAGAGGATGTTAATAGCCACACAGAAGCCTCCTTCGTTTTTTATACGTATAGGTACATATTGATATTGAATGTAACAATATTATAGAATTACGTAATATTAAAGGTAACGCGTATTAACGAATTAGTTATAACATTATGGTTTATGAATTAAGAAGATATGTAGGACTTTGTAAAATAAAGACACAACTACAATTATAAATTCAAATCACTGCCAGTATATTGCAGAAAAATGCAAGATCGTGTTTATAAGAACTGAGAACTGGTTTCAAAGTTTTATCGCCCTTGCAATTTTATTACTTATTAGCTGTTCCCGCGATCTCACCCGTCTGTGTACGAGATTTTATCCATGTGAAGTATCCACAGCGAATGTCAGCTCATCACTCAGACTATATTTTATTTTTTGTATTATGGAGAGAGCATGTAGTATATAGATCATACAGGAGATAATGTAAAAATATGTAAACGATAATAAGAACTTAAAGTATCCATTAAAGAGAAAAATGCATAGTGTATCTTGTAAGTTTTAGATACCTACTAAGTGATTTATATACCTACGAAGTTATAAATCTGGACAAAATAATAAATTATTTTTTAATATTGAGTAGTAGAGAATAAAAATATAACAAATATTAAATTGGAAAACCCAATTTAATATTTCTTATATTTTTATTTTATGTATTATTCTTCACATTGCAATTACTCTCTTTCTGTTACATATTTAACAATTGTCTTTCGGAATATCAAAAATTTTTTACGTGGCAGCGATGAGTTTCTTATTTTTAGAACTCTCTATCTCTTTGCCTCTTCCTGAGACATTATTGATGAGTTCTCTTAAATAACTATCATTTTTAATAAACTTTTTTATATTATAATATTCATTACTATCATCTTTTTTACACCTCTTATATGTTATAGGTACAGTATACTCTTTATTAATAATATATTTCTTTATTGATATCTGGAAGATATTTCTTTAAAGATAATTACCAGTTTAGAAAAGTTCGCCGACTTGTATTTTTAGGTTTATTTTACCTACACATACGGTGACACATGAGAGTCGGCACAATATATTTTGTATTATTCATGACCACGTATTGTTCATAAACATGAGTGTATATGGGTATAGACAACGGTTACCACTTTCCCTTATATGACATTGCTGATCGTTACCACCAACAGTAACTGTACTATCAGTAAATTATATTAACAAGTATATTGTTATAAAATATTACGAAATCTTTTGTTATAAAACATTACAAAAACGTAATATTAATGTTCGAGCACTCATTTAACCATTATGATTACATATTTCACTAGTTAAATTTATTTTTAATATTTATTATAAAAAAAAAAACTCATATAGTAAGGTGAATGTAGCGATTTAGTTTAAACAGGAGTCCGCTAAAATCTCAACCACTGGGAATGATCGTTGAGGGTTGAGGTTGCAGCAGGCGGGGGACGCTCAGCCCGGCGACAGGGCGCTCTGCGGAGCGCGGGCGGTGCGGCGGCGCAACCTGCGCACGCGTAACAGCCTGAACCGCCGCGCTCAGTCATTGTCCGACCAACACCGCGGTCGTACATACAAACCGACGTCGCTACTACGTTTGTCGTAAGAGTGCCCGTCTAATAAGCGGTTCACTCCGCTCCTTGGAGTGAAGGTGCAGTGCTGTGATAGTGTTTCTTTAGCTATACAATCAAAAGTGTATTGCCATAAAGTATTGCTGTCAACGGTGTGTGGCAAGTTCCACGGAGTTGTCTAACGGCTGTTCGCCTGCGAGGGAAGGCGGATCGCTTCTACCGGGAGGAATGAGCCCCGTATACCACCGGTCCCGCACTCACCGATGATCTCAAGGTTGGAATCTGGTCGAGTTTCACCTCACACACTCACTCGGCGTGCAGCCGAGCCGTGTCGCAACTTCGCATGACACGACCCCGCGATAGAGACCGTGCCGCGCTCGCATTCTCTTCTATAACGCTTCACTACGTTCTCAATTCATTTCTATTCATTATGGTGCTTTAATTTCTTTGCACCATTATTGATATATGTAAATAAATTAATCACATATATGAGCATACTATAATAATATTAACTTTCTTATTAGATTTTCAAATATTCAAACCACTAACAAGTAACACTCAGCCCAGATAGTAGATAGAGGTGGGTTCGATCCCAGCGGATAAAATTGTCGAGAGCTATTTTTAAACTATGCTATTAATAATTTAGGGTTCTCAAATGCAGGTTTACGTAATATAAATATTTTCTATAACAATTTAATATAAATAACATATAATTATAAATAATTAATTTTTAAAAAGTTTACAAAATTATCTTGAATATATATATATATATGTAATAAAATAAAACAGGCTTGATAGTCTCTAAATCACTCTACATACCATAACATTAAGGGTAAAGGGTGAGACTTACACTTTTATTCTTAGGTATGGCAATGCAAAATATGGAGCCGTGATTGTTACAATGTTGGTATTCCGTAATGTCCATAGTGCTGCTGTATATCTATGATTTACCACTTTCAATCAAGTGGGTCTAACTCTATATTTGTCTCCAAAATTAGTGAACTTTAAAGAAATGTTTACAGAAAGATACCGCAGAAATGACTCTAATAAAGTGGGTTTACAATAATGTATACTCGTATGCCATAAGTAAGATATTATATAAATGTAACAACTTATGTAATTACATTTTAAATCAGCAACTGTAAAGAGATAACACTGGACTGGTGAAGTCATATTAAAAAATATTAATTATTCAAATAAATGCATCTGAGCAAGAAATATATCTATAGGTTACTGAAAATAGTTACTAAATTTATTAGTATCGATAGATTTCTATTTTAAGCGTTGAAATATATAGATGTTTAATTTCCAAATGGTTTATTACCTATGTCCTTCTAGCACTGTCTCGAGTTTCTTATCTTTATTACTATTTTTTTTAAACATATTGTATGTGGAGAGAGCTAAAGAGAGCGTTAGCTTGTTATGTAGGGGATAAAATAGACATATGGATAAATAACATAAACATTATATCGATAGGATGCTGTAAAATTATTCTAGCGAAACTTAATGCACATCTCTATTGAGAGGTATTGATGTACCGCTATAGACAGAGTTTTCTGGTAAATAGGTATATAGTAGAAATTTTATTATAAAATTATGCAGTATATGCATATATTCAGCATCATTGAAAGTCAATAATTCAGCCTTCTTTTAAACTGTTGTTAGTTCAAGTTTATAAAAATCTATAAACGCGTTTTTAGTTTTATATCAAACATATGAAATATGTAAAATTCTTATAAATTCATCTTTTTTGTATAGAAAAAATGTTTTTGTGTCTTCCATTCAAAATACTGTGTATCAAATTTTATGCAAAACCTCTGAATTTTTTATTTAATTGTACAACAATCATAAAAATATTAATTCAGATATTCATATTGTCAAAATGATTATATGTAGGTATTTATATATAAAAATTAATCTAAGTTGTTGACACTCAGTCATTCATTCTAATAAATATACTCTATATGGACCTAAAGATAATTTTAGCTCTTTAGTGTGTAATTATTGTTAAAAAATACCATTTTGTTGGTTTTGTAATAAGAATAAGATACATATAAAATTTCGAGTTATCAATATAATTTTTTCTTATAAAAAATGGGTACTTTCTACTCAATTATAATTAATCAGATAGTTAAGCCTTATTTCTTTATAATTAATATATATCGAAATTAGCTTTTATCTTTCACGAAGACCCAAAGCTTACTATGTTTTATTAAAATCAAATGATACATATTTGCATATTGTGACCACACAATTAAATTGGCGACATTGCGTAAGAGTCGAAACCCACTAGCGGTTAAAGAATTGGTAATCGTATTACAACACGAGTCGGTCAGTTTCTAGATAGCACTTCATGTGAGGTTATATAAGCTGCACATCTCCTTATTGGGATTGTAAACCGATTTCCCATATGCTGATCCTGTAATCGTTATCTTATGAGTACATGATGCAATATGTTTTGATTATGTACCTATCTAAGAGTACTAATAACGATTTGACACATCACTAATATCCCTATTTTTAATATTATATATATAAAAATGAGTTTATTTGTAATTTTTTTACGTCGTAACTATATATCCAATCACTATGAAAATTGGTATACACCCACTACATGGGACGATGATGAACATAGACCTTTTATCCTATTTAGTGAATATATCTCGGTTACGTGGACGAAGTCGTGGAAAAAAGCTAGCTATATTGTAATTTACTGGTTATTTGTTTAACTGATAAGGCGCTGTTAATAATCGGTAACAGAAAAAAAAACAAACTCACTTTCACATTAAAATTTATAATATTAGTAATGATTATGCAATCATACTAATCCTTTTAATATTATAAATGTGAAAGTTTACAAAGAAGTTAATATATTTATTTAGATATACTTAAATGAGCTTATATTTGAGTGCTATTTGGTACACAGACAGACCATATTTAGCATTAATAAGCACCTTATAAATTTAGAAGGGCAAATTCATAGGATATATATATTTATAAAGTACCAAACAAGTACACTAATTACTATCTAGTTATCTCTAATATATACATTTAATACATTTATTTTTTGTTTAAGTAATATTTGACATAAAAGTTAAAAAATAATGAAATTTAGTACTAGATAAAAAATGTGAGGCATAGTTATTTGAAAAAAAAAATTTAAAATGCTTACTAATTTTATATACGAGAAGCTTTGTTATTTCTATGCTATTTCTTGATGTCTTATATGCTAAAAAATTAAATTTACTATACCTGCACGTAGTATTTGCCATAGAAAAGACTATAACTACTTTAATCCTGGCCATGCAGACTAAATAACGGGTACAGCTAGTACTGACATAAATGATCATAGAATATATAATTACCTAGAAAATTGTATATTGTGCTTTCATAATTTATTTCGACTATAGGTCTTATTTATTTTATTGTCAGACTAAAAGACCAGGTGGACTTCGTATCACCAACAACGCCATCTATTAAAGTAATCTGAAGCAACAGAATTTTCATACAAAATTACGTATTTTAAATTTGGTTTCAACTGAATTTTAGTGTTAAGAAAAAAGTCGGATTTTTTCTTTTAAACTGCCCCTATATTTTAACACAAAAAAATTCAATATGTACAGGCCGTTTTTGAATTTTAGTGAGACTAATGAATAGAAATTTATTTTTATATTTATATATAAAAGATTATCCTTTATTTTGTTATCAGATTTTAATAACAATTTAGTGTGAGGTTCTAATGCAATGATAAAATATATAAAATAATATGTTGCATATGAAGAATTATAAAGATATATAATTAGTGAACGTCGTTTTAAACACATTTATTTCCGGAAACAAACTCGTCTTACGATTTTCTAATAAAAAGAGTTCAACGAGCGCTCGTCTTTTAGAGCGAAACATAAGCTAAGAGTTTGATAAAGTTATAGTAACTGACTTCTAAAAGAAGGAAGTTCTTAATTCGGTTATTTTTTTATGTTTATTACATCATAATTCCATCAGTTGTAAACCGACTTGGAAAACTCTTTTTTCTCTTAAAGAATATACTTGAAGATTGCTCCCATAGAAAAATTATTAAAATCGGTTCAATAATTTAGTTTTAAATCAATATAATTGAAGTGGGTTTTTTAGTGGAATACAATTTAATTATAACTATTTGAGTTCAATTCTGCATTGTAAGAATATAACAGATTATACTTATTCTTATAATACGTTTTCTGGAAGTTTGACATTGTACGAATAATACGGGGATTTAACGGTTGTATGTTAAATAAGCAAGTTTTTAATCCCAGTTCGCTATTTGATATGCTAACGGCAAATTCATACTATTTAGCATTTCGAAGAAATTTAATTTACATTTTAAAAATACAAGGAGATCTCGAAAATGTAATTCAATAAAAAAAGTCCAAAAGAAAATTTTAGCATAAGTATATTTATGCTAAAATTTTCTTTTTGTGTTATTTGACAAAAAGTAATTTTAATTTTATACGATATTGAAGTATTCAAACTTACTTATTCAATATAGTATATTCATAATTTTGCGAACTTTCTTGTTAGGTTTAACTTATATATGTAGGTACCTATCCCTTTTAATGTATGAAATTTTTTAACTTCGTACCTTTTAATATATTAAATCTAAAGTAAAAAAAGAATTAAAAATAACTATTACTTAGTATAGATATTTTCTAAATATGCAATAAAAGATTATATGAGATAAGATATATATTAGATTAATCAAATTTTATCTTAAAATGTATTATCATGTCATATATTTTCAATAATTACTAAATAATTGTAACTTCTTAGTTTCGCAGAACAATAATAATACTAGTAATTAAAGAATTATCATAGACAATTTTGTTAGACAGTACACAGTTATAATTATCTTATACATAATAGATTTAAATTATACATATGTAGGACCCAAAATTATCTCTTTAATATTCTTAATTATATTTATTATATACTTGAGAAACTAATATAAAAAATATATTCCCAGTTGAAAGATATAAATTATAACAAAGTTTAGAAGTAAACGTATAGCACACGTAAAAGTAATGATACCATCTGTACGAGTACATACGAACGTACTTATCTGAGCTGACATACATTGCATTGCTACATAGTCAACAGTGTATGTAGAGAAACTTTAGTTTGTAACATTTCGTATAATATATACACACTGGACCATAATATTCCTGTTTTCACTGGTAATTAAGCGACCACATATCGGGTTACTATAAAAATTAAATTTCCGTGTAATTAAAATAGAAA